AGACTATTAGTCTTTAGATTAATTTAGGTTTTTTGTAATAAAGTTTCTACTATGGCATTATATTAATAAAAAAAAAATAAAAAAAAAAGATTTAATTTAAAAAAAAGATATTTACTAGTCTAAATTAGGCTTTTGGATAAAAAAAAATGCAAATTAAAACAATTAAAGTTGGGTTAAAGTTTATGGTTTGTAAATAAGTATTGCTTAGAGCATAGAAGAAAGACTCTTAGTTATTTAGCAAATAATACAAAAATTATATTTATGATGTATTTTAACCAAAAGTGATACCTTTTTTGATATATCTTTTTTTAAATTTCTTGAACTTTCTTGTATTTAACTAAGATTGTATAAATATTATAAAGATCATATCAGAAATATAATTTAAAAATTTTTTGTCTATCTGCATATATATTCAAATTTGTTAATTTAGTATAACAAAATATGTATATTTATATGTTTGTGTAATAAAATAATCATCATATAATATTCTCTAGGCACATAATGCTACTTAATTTTCTAGTTTATAAGCTAAATAATTATATATATGTTTGGTTCTGTAATTTTTTTAAAACTATTAAAACCAAATAAACCTACTGATATGATGTTTAAATTTTTTTTTTTTTGAATTAAGGTGAGTTCTTGCTTATATTTTTATTAAGTAATTTATATAAATAGCTACATAGAAGTATAGAAACTAACTTTGTATAATGTTACAATGCTATAGCCTTCTTAGTATAATTATAGCAAAGTAGCAAGATCTCCCAGTGCAGTAATATACTTTATAAATATACACAGAGTAGTAGTGTTACAAATCATCAAAAATTTTTCAATCGATTAGTTGACAACCTATTTTATTCAACTAATCAATTAATTAATTAATCGATTAGTTGACCAATCGATTAATCGATTAATCGATTAATCGATTAATCAACTAATCAATTAATCAATTAATTGACCAATCGATTAATCAATTAATTGATTAATCAACCAATCAATTAGTCAATTAATCGATTAATTGATTAGTTGAATAAAATTATTAATTAGTAAATTAAATTTTTATATTCAATTATTATTGTGGTTTAAATATTTTTTTATTTTTATTTTTATTTTTTTTTGTTAGATATATATTTTTTTTCACAGTTACAATGAGTTTTAGAAGTTGTACAAAAAAGATACTTAGTGTATCCAAAGCATATGCCGGAATAATAATCTTTTGCCATTAATTAATTAAACCAGGATATTTTCACTCGGTTACTCATTGATTTGTATTTTAATATTGTACTAGTGATACAAATCGTTAAAAATTTTGCAATCGATTAGTTGTCAACTAAACGATTATTTAATTTTTATTCGATTTTAATATAAGTTGCCAAAAATTTTTCAATCGATTAGTTGTCAACTAAGCCAACTAATCGATTTTCGATTTGTATCACTAACTCAAAATTCCTGATTTCCAAATACAATCTGCTAACCACAGCAATTTAAAAGCACAATAAATAAAGCAACTTGGCAAAAGCTTACCAATTCAAACATAACCTGATATTTCGTTCTCGATTATGACTAGGGTATCTAAGATTATCCAAGCCATTAGGTAAACATAAATTGCTTATCGTGCTATTCAAATAATTCAAGTAGCCTTGCTAATTCAGACATTATCTGCCGCTAAAAATAGATTAGTTTATAAAATTTATCAGTTATCGTTATATAAAACAGAGAAAATTAAAAAATATACCATTGTAAAGCTTAAAGATATTTTATATTCGATTGTGCATTATCATAAGATCTTACATATTCTAACTATAAAAATAATTAAGATCCTGTAGGTGTTGGGCACGATTAATAAAGTATTATTTTGCACTTGTATTTAGATTCTAATTTTGTATAAGCTTTTAGCAAAAGCTAAATATAGCTTTTGCAGTATTCTGGTACAATCAAGAAAATGTCGATTGTAAAAAACATACAAATTAACAAATTAAAATAGGGGTTAGAATAGTTATATAGTAAATTTCTGAATTAAATGTATATAAAAAAAAAAGGTTGCATATCAGTAATTTTACTATAGTTCATAATACAATATTGACCTAGTTCTAAGCAAATTAAATTTATGTTTAATTGAGAATAAAGAAAATACAGCAATTTAAGAAAACTATAAATTACATCTGAGGGAATTCAGAAACTACTATTGGCCACTGCTTACAATACTGGGTCTTATTCAAGAGCTTCATGTTTAAACCTAAATAGTACCTGTAAGTACTGTGTGAAGAACTGATATACTAAATTTGGGAAGTATATTATATAGTAATAAATCAATGTAGTTATATTTTCGGGTCTTATTCAAGAAGTAATACCCAGATTTTATTCGTGAGGAGTATTATTTTCAGAGATACTGTAAGCAGTGCCAATGATACTCGAATTCACAAAAGATCAAGCTTTGAAGAGTAAGGATATTCTATCTATACATTTTCCCTACATCTATATAATCAGGACAATAATTGATCATGTCAAGTATTGTTAAAATTTCTTTTTTAAACACTCTACTCATTCATCATCGTGTGTGTATTCCTAATTCAAAAAGGTTATAATTGTCAAAATTGTTGTTAAAAGAATCTTTTGAACACATGCACATACAGTATCTATACTTATCATATTGCCCTGCCCAAAACTCCAAATATAGAAAATAATAGATTGTTAAAAGAATCTTTAAGCATGTACATATACAATATCTATACTTATCATATTGCTCCAAAGTTCCAAAAGAAGATAATAAGATAGTAGAACCTTTATAGAGCTAAACTATATATTATTATCGCAAAAAAAAAAAAATTGAGTTTATTAAAATAATGTATAATTTGAAATTACGCTTATAGAAACTATAAGATAAAATGCATTTCATATAAAATCTATCTATCCATCTAGATATATTCAAAAAACAACATGCAGATGATCATTAACTTGCAATTATATTTGCTTAAAATTATAAAAAGTGAAGTTTTTCATTGTGTAGTGGTTATCAATGCTATGATAATGGCTTCAATCTTTAGTGCTAGTAGTTCATCTAAAAGAATAGATACAACAAGCTATGGTTCAAATGATTCATCAACTAGAAATAAAGTAAGATGTATTGATCAGAAGAATATTACTGATTCATATTTCCAATCGATATTACAAAAAAAGCTAAAAAAAAGTCGATATAATAAAAAAAACTCTAAAGATAGTTTCGTTTGGTTATTTTTTAAACTTGTTGAATATAAAGAAGATGAAGAAATAGTGACAAAGGTTCAATGCTCAATTGAAGGTTGTGATACAGAGTATACATGGCATAGCTCAACTTCTAATATAATTAACCACCTCCATAATGTCCACCATATCACAAAAATGTCTCTTAAAAATAAACTAGTCGAAGAACTTAAAAAACCATTACAACAGAAACTTGAAACAGTTTTGTCAAAACCACATTCTAAACAATGGCAACAAAAACTTACTTGGAATATAGTTAAATTTTTTCTTACTTGTACCCTTCCTTTATCTTTAATAGAAAATAAGAATTTTCGTACTTTTTTAAATTCATTTAATTCTTGATATAAACCACCTTGTATTAACACACTCAAACATGAAGTCTCGGATGCAGCTTTTCATACAATACAAACTATTAAATATATGATTAACACCCAAGCAGATATGATATTACTCACCTTTGACTTATGAACTTCCCGGGCACATGATTCTTATTTAGGCATTACATGCCATTGGATCTCAGAGGAATTTAAGATGTATGATTTTACATTAAGTGTAAATGAAATCGGTGAGTATAAAACTGCCTATAATATTGTAAGTACTATTGAACTAGTATTAGAAGAATTTGGTATTAGCGGA